CTTTTGCATCAGACTGCTTTTTCAAGTGTTTAATATTTTAGCTCTTTTTCTTGCATGGGTTTCAGTCAGAATTGTATATGCCTTAAATTTTTCTGCTATTCAGAACAGGTTGAATTATGCCATTTTCAATGATAAGCTTAAAATCACAGTAAGGGTTCTTCTCTTCGCTTCTCCTGCTAATTAAATGGTTTCTCAGTCCATAGATGTGGTTAAGCATTTATCTCAATGTTTTTCTTTATTTGCTTATTTAAATTCTGCAGTAAAAGACAATGCAGGTTATCAACCTGTGTTTATCCTCTGTATGCAGTATTAAGCTCTTTCACTTAGCCTGGACTGCATCAAGTAAATTAATAGAAAAAACAAAGGAAAATCTTTTTGCTCTACCCAACTTCACCTGTTGACTGTTACACTCCAAAGGAAAAAGAAGCTCCAAAGATGCACAGGCACGGTGATGAATATCTTGCCAGCCCCTTTGTCCTGCTTTATACCTGTGGAACACATCAAAGGTGAATGAGGCAGCCTGTGAGTTTCAGAGTCCATTTTTCAAGCAGGCCTTGTGCTCCTGAATGCTAACAAAACAGAAGGGACCTGTAATCTTGTGTACTCAGAGTCCTAAATACATTCTAAGGCAGTTTGGATAATGTGGAACAGGCAAGCTCATTAAAGCACATGCAGAGTCTGGTAGGCAACTGAAGCAGAATGTAGACTGAAAATAGATTGCACCAGCAAAGGAATATCTCACTTGTATTTGAAGTCTTACCTTTTCTGAAGTGCAGGCAGTTGAGGTCTTCATTTTCTTCTGGTTGAGTGTGTGTATTTTTGCTTCAATTGGCTTTCTGTTTATCTATTGGGGAAAAAAAAAAAAAAGTCTATATTGGATACAGTTGACCTGTTTTGTGCATATTGCAACAAATTCAATATCATAAAAAATTCAAGCTTGATTTTGTCCCATTATTACTACATGTTGAAGTCCTGAATCATTCTTCTATGCACCTAAAAAAGATCTACACTCACAAGTTATTTCTTACATAACTGCTTCCAAAAAGTAGATGTGCAAGTCTGCAAAAGATTTGAAAGGTTGTTGCAGACTACTTTTTGCCAGAGAACATCAATGTCTGAATTCAGAAAGCAATTCTGATATGGCCTTTGAAAAAAATCCCACTCAGCCCTTGGCCACACCTCCGGGGGAAACTCACTGTGATAGGGAGTCTCCAACACACTCTGTTTCATCCTTTCAAGTTCAAGTTACATTGTGAAATAGCTTATCAATCAAAGAGCTTTATGCTATCTTCATGGAAATCACACTGCTCACCCTAACGCGCTAGCTGAACCTTCAGAGAGATCTTTCCAAGAGGTTTAAAAACCCCCGAAAATAGATGAAATGTAAATAAACAGAACAGCGAATGTGGATTATGGGAGAACCAGCAATTTTTATATCTAGATGAAGATTCCTTGGAAGAAAGAAAAAGAAGAAAACTAAATAGATTTTATTCAGACCAAAAGTGAAGTAAATTCTACTTGTACAGAGTAGATGTATGGTGTCACCACTGTGATGCCCAATCTCCTTAAATACAAATGCAGAGTTTTGTCTGGTGTGTCAGAAGGAATATTTATAAGAATTGAGGCAACACGATCAGATGAGACAAGCATTTTCAACTTACTGCAGCATCACAGCTAGTGCTGCAGTTTTGTTTCCTGATTAATTGGAAGAAATCTTCCATGCCATATTTCAGACCAGTGATAAGAAAACAACATTCAGTAGGCATAAGCTGGCTGAGCTGTGTTCAGAGGCAATGCCTTAAGTATTTTGATTTGAATTAGAAACAAGACCTTTCTAGATCACCTTTCATTGCGTCTTACTGCTCTTCTTAGTTGGGATAGAACTAATTTTCTTCATAGCAGTTCATATAGTCCTGTGTTTTGGACTTGTGATGAAAATAGCGCTGAAAACTCTCTGATGTTTCAGGTATTGCAGTACAGTGTTGCACAGAGCCAGGGACATCTCAGCTTCTTGTGCTGCCCTGCCCGTGAGGGATATGGGGCTGCACAATTGCTGGGAAGGGGCATGACCAGGACGGCTGACCTAAATTGGCCAAAGGAATGTCCAGTACTATGTGGTGTTGTGCTGAAGAGTAACAGTCGGGGAACTGGCTGAGAGACCTGGTGTTGCTGGGAGGCTCACTGGGCATCAGTTGGCTAGTGGTGAGCAGTTGTGCTGTGTATCATTTGCTATGCTTCTGTTGTTTTGTTTGTTCCATTTTGTTTTGCTTGTTCTTTAATTTTCTTTGGTGATATCAAAATAATTCACAAAATGTTTTTTTGCTATTTTTTGTACAGAACAGAAAGTCAGGGAGGGATTAAGTTTTCCAAACTGATGAAATAATGTCATGGTTTTTATTTTTCTCCATATCCATGATTGCAGCAGTTACGCAGGAGGTGCAATTGGTTGGACTTATCTTGACAAAGGGCTGTTATTATGGGACTAACTACCATGCTTTAGAACATCCTGGCATGGACAATTTTGTATCTCCCCATCTAGATTACTCTGCTTCATATCGTTGCTAATTCAGAAAAATCACTCGAGCAAAGATTGGTGTATAGTTAGTCACATCTCATTTGAGCCTCTTAAACATAAATATTGAGTATCAGAGTATGGCCCCTTGTGAATTAGAGTTCTGACCACAAGCTCTATAGACTTGTGGAATTCTTGGCTTTTTTCTAGTGCAGTGTGAATTCTGACAATAATCTTTTCTTCTAGCTTAGTTTTACTGCCATTGACATAGGAGTGCCAGCGAGGTTGTGACTCCCTGAGTTTAATGCCCTGCTCTCATAGGTAACCACTTCTTGCAATCTCCGTCATGAACTGAAATCATTCCATCTTAAAAATTGTTTTTTGGTTCTCTCCACTCATAACAGAGGCTGTTCCTAAATTTAGAAATGTCTGGTGAGATTTCTTTCTAGCTTCTAGCCTTGTATTTATTCCTGTCTGAATTACAGTTGTACATTTTTCAGTGAACACACTTTAAACATTTTCTTTCCTACTTCACGCTATCAGTCTGTATTTTCCTAACTTCAAGAACTCATTCTTTCCAGGACTATTATCATGTGAAAAGTACTTCATTTTCCTGATTATCTCATTAGCTTGTCTCTGTGTATTCTGATTCTCTGTTATTTTTCTATTTATGAAATAGCAGAAAATAGAAATAGCAGAAATAGAAGAAGAAAGATCTCTTAGGCTGTTTCTGGCTTTGTCCCTATTTTATCTGCCTTTTGCCAGGGCAGTTATCACGGTGAAGTCTGCTGATCGCAGGGGGCCAAGTTTTTGTTTCTGAGTTGATGAGGTGTGGATGTGATAGGTCACAGAATGTGGCAGGTTTTCTGAATGTTCGGACGTCCCAGCACAGTGAGGAGGCTTTGTTTAATGCTGAAGCGCATACGGTGCACATGTCACAGCACTTTAACGAAGGTGCAGACATGGCTATGATGCCTATAAAATCATGGAATCATAGAATCATAAAACATAGAATTGTAGAATTGCAGAATGGCTTGGGTCAGAAGATCATCAAGTTCCAACCCACTTCTGTGTACAGGGTTGCTACCCACCAACTCAGGCTGCCTGGGGCCCAACCAACCCAATCTTAAATCCTCCAGGGTGGGCATCCACAGCTTCTCCGGGCAGCTTGTGCCAGTGCCCTCTGAAAGTAGGTCTGTTCTGGTTTCTAAAAAATAATGAGCATAATAATATACAATCAAGTGATGTCTTTGATAAAAAACCAAGCACTTCAAGCAAAGCTACCCAGTTTCTTTTTTCTTGCACTACAGTATTATCAAAAAGCCCTCTGCAAACTTTACTTTCCCATTTTGAAGAATGCAAATCCTGCTTAGCTCTCTCCAGTTAGAGAATTTTACTTTTCTACAGAGAGCTATAAAGATGGCAGAGGGTCTAGAGGGGAAAACATGAGGAGCAGATGAGGCCCCTGGTCGTGCTGAGCACAGAGCAGAGGAGCTGAGGGGAGGCCTGATGGCGGCTGCAGCTCCTCACAGGAGCGGAGGGCAGCGCTGAGCTCTGCTCTGTGTGACAGGGCCTGAGGGAACGGCGTGGAGCTGTGCCAGGGGAGGGCAGCTGGGGGCTGGGGACAGGGTGTGCACCAGAGGGTGGTCAGGCTTCAGAACGGCTGCACAGGGCACCAAGTGCCGGAGTTCAAGGAGTGTTTGTACTGCACTCTCAGACACGGGTTTTGAACTGGTACTGCTGCACTGGTGGTACTGCTTGGAGCCAGGGCTCCAAGCCTTTTGGATGTCCTTGTGGGTCTCTTCCAACTTGGGATATTCTACAATTCTTGGAAAATTTTCATGGCACCATGAAGCAGTGGAGCTCTGCATAATTACCACAATTGCAAGGGGAAAGCTGAGGAAAACAGGAGTAGTATTAAGAAGTGCTGAAGAGTAAACCTGAGCTGCAGAGAAGATAAGGAACCTTGAAATGGAGGAAATTTGGATCTAATCCATTTATATAATACTTTTTTAGTGGTCTGTTTTCGCTTCAGAAACAGGTTCTTGGTAAAAAAAACAATATATAGTCAATATGTAGATTCCGATGTTCAGCTGGATATGATAAATATGTAAAAGACAGACATTTGAGGTAACAGAGAGTGCCACTGGAAGATTTAATAGGTGAGCTGACCTGCTTGTAGTTATCTTGTTAGGGTCTTCCAGTTCCTTATGAATGCTCTGAAGAAACTGGATATACATGGATGTCTGGATAACATGTTTTTTTTTTCCTGTAAAATAATGCAAGAATAGATATATATATATATATACACAAATTACAAGGAGATTACACTCTGGATTAACACAGTTTGCAGTGGTTCAGGGTCATTGACAGCCATACAGTTATAGTTAAAGATACAGTTGTTTGAGAGATTTGCTCTCACTGTGTGGTTATAAGAGGATGTGAATGAAATCTGATATCTCCATATACCACCCTGTTTTTCACAGAGACAGGAGCTGGAGGAACAGGGGAGCCTGCCTGATAGCTGAAGAAAGCAGTCTCTGACAAAGAGTGTCTAATCATCTGAGCATCCCTGTGGTACCCTGCCTCACCCAGTGCTGGAACTTATTCTCTGATGTGAGTGATACGGATTGATTCTGAGTGGAGGGAAGCTGAGATGGTTTTCAAAAGCAATGTTTCTTTGTTTCTGAAAGAGGGAAGCTAAGGCCTGCGTGCTTGACCCCACTTTTTTGTTAGCATCACTTCAGTCTTAGGAGAGGTTGGAGAACTAAGTCCATGCTCAGCCATTAATTCAGCTTTCTAGAAGTGAAACAAAGTGAAGAAGCTTTCTCTTGCAGGAGGAAACAGCACTGTAACAGAGAACAACTTTTTTTTGCCATTTGTCCCTTCTGCCTTGGGTTCTGAAGAGAAGTTGGGAAACTTTGAGTCATCAGCTCCACTCCTATTGAAGTTGCTGACTTTCATCCTGTTTGTAAATTTGTAAGGCTCCAACTTAAAATTGGTTGTTTCTTATTCACATTACTCCTTACAGAAGGCTATACCAGAACTGTTTGTCTATGAGACATAATTGGAAAAAAGCCTGAGTTTCTAGTTTGTTTTTCCTTTTTATAATGATTTAGAGGAAGAATTATGAAGAAATATAATGATTCACCTTTCTTCCCAGTATTCATTACAAGGGAATTTGATCTTGGAAGACGCAGCTATGTTTATGTCTTTTGAGTGATTAGGGCAGTAGCCATCCACAACATGTTTAATAACATCTCAGAGCCTTGCAAGACACAACAAGGACAATTTATAACATAAAAGAGATTTTGACATAAACATTTCATTGCACATCTCAATAAAGAGGGTCTGGATTTCTTTAATTTTGTTATGCTACGTTGCAAATTACATCACAAAAGCATAACACAAGATGCATTGACAACTCAAGAATTTTATGAGATGGACTAGTCTTTAGAAATTTTTCTTCTTAATCTGTAACATGGACAGCTAGTGGAATGAAAAGTCTGACATATCTAACATTCCATACTGGCTCTCAATCACTCTGTTTTCTGTTTTCCTCAGTTCCTCCCGATCTTTCTTGAGTGGTTACCAAATTACCTAGAATTTTTCACTGAGTAGGCAACTATTGGTTTTCAAATCAAGTATAATTCAAACAATGTCCATGGTCCTGTGTATGGCAAGATGAATGGAATAGAGTATCATCAGCTGGGTCCAAGCTGTGCTACAAGAACCACGCATGCTAGTTGCACAGCTGGGGTTCCTGCTCTCCAGCTGAAGTTGGAATCAGCATGTCTCTGTGAGCCCTTCCGCAGGTAGCAGAAAACCTCATCCCTCTGTCTCCTCCTCCATAAATTTTCCACATAAAACATGAATTTAAGTTAGGTGAAGATCTCTTAAACATGTTAATGTTTCACTGAGACACAAATCCATTAAAATATTTTTACTTAACTGAGTTTCTGAGTCATGAAGAGTAAGAAGAAAATAACATATACATCACAGATCTGAAACTTTGATAAGTTTCTGAGTAGTGTTGTGTAGGCTTCGTACATCTTTATATAATCACGTTCTCACTCATGGTACTGGATAAGTTTTGCACAAGAAAAAAAGCAGTTAATGGAGGGAAAAGTCCAAGAAAGGTCACATTTATTTATGCTACTTTATTACAACTTTTTTAAGGGAAAGGGGTTTTTTCATTAAAAGTAATTTAAAAAGTGAAAATTATAATGCAGACTACAAGCAATTAATTTGTGTCCTGTGCTTGGTAATCTGCTCACCTCAAGGAAGTTTATCTTCAGAGATCAAAAGACAAAAGTCACACTCAGAAATATGTTCTCTCATGTCACATTGCATGCTTTAAATAGCAAAATTTAAAGCTGACACTTGATTTGAAATACCTTTTTAAGGTCTCCATGGAGACAGTGTTGTCTTTGCAAAAATGTTTTTGCGGGGTACAAGGCAGAAATTCACAACAGCTTCAAACTTCCAAATTGTACCAAGAAACTTTTCTTTTTCTAAATTAAATTAAGACAACAGGGCAAAATCTACCAGGCCATTTCTAAATTACTGACAAAACAGAACACTGCTGTTTGAAAATACCTTTTCAGAGTGCTGAACAACGAAGGTGTGTGATCTTAATTAATGCCAATAAATATCAGCATTTCCCACTATAGTGGGAATCAGAGGCTTTGAGAATAATCAGGTTACATTTAACACTATGTGCTGATGAGAACTTATCTGCAAAAGGCTTGTTTGTGTAACCCCTACACTCCAATAATGCTAACAGTCATGGACAAGCTAAGTAGGTTAAGCTTCTTGAAGATAGATTTTGAGTTTTTAGGTTTTTTTTTTTTTTTTTTTTTTTTAAATAGGAAAAAAAAGCAATTAAAATTCCCTTTCTGTGACAACTATTTGAAAATCGTTTCTTGAAAGAGAATAAAATAAAATCTCCAGTATAGTGGAGCTTTATTGTCCTGGCACTCTGAAAGGCAACAGTCAAGAACCAGAGACAAGCATGGTCTGGAGGAGTAGAATACTCATGCAGAGACAAGCAGGGTGTCCTCTCATCAGATTTTAGATGCTGTCAGTTTCTGAGCTCCTGTCCGTCGGTCTCTTATAAAAGGAAGGTTCATCAAAGATGGTGCAGTTTTGCAAAATGTCATTAATATTTAATATTTTTTCTGAGAAATAAATGCTGCTAAAAAACTTCCTCATCCATTTCTATGTCTAGGTCTACTCATGGTACATTTTGTGTAACAGTAATGAAATAAGTGATATAATTGAACTGCTCATAAAAGTGCAAATGAATTAGCTGATTTCCCAGACACACTGATATCAAATTGTTAATAACAGGAAAAATGCAAAATCAGTGGGGAGATTTAAAATAGCTAACAAAACTTAGCTGGAGTCCTGCTGACAACGAAGTTTTAAAATTTGATTACAACCAAATTAAAAAGTGACAATGTCATTTTCAAATCTGACTCCCTAACGCCAGCCCTAGTCAGGCACATGCATCCATGGTTTTAACTGGCTTCTGAAAACCAGCTCCTGAAAACCAGCCCTGTTCTACAGATAAAAGAAATAAAGGCCTTCATGAAGACCGAAGTAGAAAATGTAGACTCAGCTCCCTGTGGCTGCAAGAGTTTGCCATGTAAAAGGCTTCAGACATTCGAAAGTCAGTGCTCTGCCACTGCTGAGATGCTGGTGGCTCAACCCAAGGGCATCTCAGGCCGGGGCGTGCTGTCCAGCTGCAGGAGGGTGGGTTGTGTCCTGCAGCCCTTCATCGAACACTAGGCAAATCCGTGGCTTCCTTCCCCGAGACTTAATGGCATCCTCTGTTTCAGGGTTTGGTTTTAGCACAGAGCTTGCTGCTGAAGGCTCTCAAATCTTGCTGCCCTGCCGGCTCCTGACACCGCCGGTGGGGGTGGATTTTGCATTTATTACTTCACAGTGACACCTGCTGGAAAAGACCCCTTCCTTAGGCAGGTAAGGTGTATTTTTAGAATGAATGAAGCATAATTTGGACACCGTCAGAAGATTATGTCAAGTTGGGAAAAGGGCGTAAAAAAAAAAGATCAGAAAAACATTGTAAACGTTATGAGAGCCACTAAATCCCCATAAAGTACCCTGTTGTGTACCCCTTAAGACATGAAGCAATTGTCAGCACTTTTATGCCGAAAGTCCTGACTCAGCCAGGTCTCGTCCTCTCTCCAAAGCTATGCATCGTGTGTTTCTCTACCGTGATTTCTGAGGGCACTGAAATCTGTTCCCAGACATCTGGGTTTGATGCACATAGAGAATGTTTTTTCTCCCGTTCCTATGTACTTTTCATGTGCGAGAATGGGCCACTAGGTGTCACTAAATGCCACTAGATCCGTTGTGGTTCCCAGACCCACTGGAACGTGCTGATACCAACAATGAATATACACCCTGTTCATCACTGGCTTTTTGCACTGGCCAACGTGCAATTTTTCAGGTTTCAGCAAGTTTGAAGAAAAATCTCTGGCTTCCAAGTAGTACACGTAAATATTCACCTTTCACTTTAATTTTAACAGAAAAATTTTATTTTATAGTACAGTGTGGTTGAAATATCCTTGGTCAGTAGAAGCTGTTAAATGATATGTGTTAGCATTTGAGAAGAGCTGCTCTGTGCTCAGAACTAATAGAGCACTAGCACTGCATGCATATTTGTGATTTGTTTGTTCATCAAGCCTGCACTCAATAGAAGTCTCTGTCTTTCTGTATAGATGAAGCAAAAGCTGCTAACCATATTCTTTTTCAGAATATTTTTGCACTTGAACATTCAGCCCATACATGAGTTAGGACTGAAGCTGATAAATGCAGCTCAGCCTAAGTTTTTGTGCAACCCCTCTAGATGGTAGAATAAGTATCATATGAGCCACCTCTTTCTTCACAAAGTTTGTATCCTAGGTTTGCTCCTCTTTTTGGGAGGCATGGGTGTTCACAGAGAGGGAGGCTAGGGATACAGTGGCCAAACTGTTTTGAGAAGTGGCAGACAGGCCAAGGGTTGTGCCACCAAGCACTTCTGTACCGCCATAGGGACTGAGTCACAGGATGTACGTTGGTCGCTGTCTTTACAGAAGTCTGTGCTGGAGCTATTAATGCTGAGCTCTGACTGCTGACCCAAGGTGTAACCCTGTCAGACATCATTTCCTCAAGCTAGCGGAGACAAGGACCTCCTGGGGAAACCCCCAAAGATATTTGTGTTTCTATAGTTAACTATTTGACATTAAAAACAAGTTGGAAGTATATGTTGGACAGTGAAAAATAAACTGAATGCTGAATAATCATTGCTTCTGCTGTGGGAGCAGTAGTTCTGCAGAACAAAAAGTAATGCTATTACTTTTAGTTAGGACTGTTCTGTTAGTTCAGCAGGAAGACTGAACTTAGACTGCTTGTTCAAGTTTTGCTCTTGTAACAGGAATGTCATTCAGGTTTTTCCTTTGGTACGTGTACTCTCCTTTTCATAGGTTTATGTATACATACATGTTTTTATATATATTTTACAGTTTAACCTCTCTACCTCTGAAAAAAGATACTACTCTAGCCCTCCAGATTTTAGAATTAAAATGATGGGGAATGATATAAGAAACAAGCTTCTCATTACTCTGATTATTTTTCCCGCTTGGACTTTCCTTCCCTCAGACCAATTGTCACTCCTCTCATGCACAGATGAATAAAATTCTCTCTGGCACAGTTTTTTTTCCACATAGAAAATGAATATGACCTCATCTTATGTACCTCACAGAATGTTTTAAGGTATAATACATGCATGTTTTCAGAGAGTACTGAAGATGAAAAGCAATATATGATAAATATAAATCTACTTTGATCATAAAGGGCACATTACTATTTTTCCTCATCTCTCTAGAAAGCAGTAATGCCATCCTCTTCTAAACATCCCTCAAATATATGTACAAAACAGGAATAAAAATAATTATTAGAAGATAAAGAATTATAAATAAACAAATACAGAAATAATTTATTTGAAGATGACAATTGGAATCTCTCTGCCTTGGCTCTTTTGATCTCCTTGATGCTCATTAAATTGTGGATGGCAGACCCTACCTCCATCTTTGAGAAAGAAACTAGAGTGCTGCTTAAGCACTAGCTAAAGTTTCAAAGGTAATGAGGCTTGGGACCTACGGACTGGAAAGTATAGATTGATTTGCATGCTTTTTCACCTCCCCTGCTGCTTATTTGTATTGTTCTTGCTTTTCCAGCCAGCTCAGAAATTCTCATCTGATTTGTTAATATTTGCACATTGCCCATAAGCATTACTGATACTCTTCAGGTAGGCAGGGAGGAAAAGCACTGCCCCACTGAGCCTCCATGACTTGAGTTGTGACACTCACTTTCATCTGCTGCCTACCCTGGAGGAGTATTACGTATTTTCCATAGCAACTGTGTCTGCTGAATTCACAAAAATAGGTTGTAAGTTTAGAGCCTATAACTGAAGGATTAAAAAAGGGGGGGGTGGGAAGAATGAAAAGCCATTTCCTTGGTTCAGTCTCATAAGAATATATGCATTCTCTATTTATTTTTCTGCATGTACGCTGTTGTGTTTTACTATAATTTATTTACCTTAGGTTTGCTGGTTTTGATGTTGTGGCTTCCTTTTCTTTATATTCCTTTGCTGGTTGGAGTTGAAATATGCTGCAAAATATGAGTTTGTGTTCAGGGTGGTGCAGAACTGTCTCAGCAAAAAGCACAACAGCTCACAGGCTGCTGCCTGTCTTTGCCCATCTGGGCCTGTGTGCTGTGCTAGCTAGCTGTGCAGGGCAGTGTAACACACAGGCACAGATGTGAGTGAGTTCCTCTACACCTAAAATGGGTTCTCATGACAGGAAAGGCTTGCAAAATTGAATCTTGTATTGTAGTCTAGATGTGCTGTCCTAATGTCTTAACAATGAAAGCGCACAATTGGAAAGAATTTCAAGCGTCTTACATAAAATAAAATAAAATTTAAGTTAATTCCAAACCCAGAAGCATCCTACCCTGCAACCAGATGTGCTATATATATGCTCTGTAATGTGTTCTTCCCTTGTTCTGATGTGTAATGGTTCTCCCTTCTTTTACTGGTTCACTCCAGTACAGCATGCTGAAGTGTAATGAATGATACTTGTGAAGTGCTTCAAAGATAAGCTATGGAAGCATATATGTCTATCTGCTAGTGGCTACTGCGTTCATGACATATTCAAGGCACAACATGTGAGAACTTCTCTTGCAGGTGCTCACTGCTCTGCTCTCTGAAACGGTAGTGGTGCACAGCTGAGATGGATGGCAAGAGTCTCTGAAATCTGTAACCTAAAATATGATGTCACCATGCTGATTTGTTATTTTGGCATGTTAGACAAATCAATAAATGTGGCAATGGTGATAAATCCAGTGAGTTTTTTTTTCTGCGTCTGATCTTGTTCATACTGGTGAAAGAGTTTGAAAGGTTTTAAAGGCAGAGGGAGTTACAGCAAGACAGAAAACAAAGTTTGCTTCTAGACAGCAATACTAGCATGGAAGCTTTTTAAGTGTAACATACATCATCTATCTCTGCACATAAGCTCCTGCTGAGGCTGAATCCTAACTGGGACAAAAGCATAGCACAAGGAAGCTGCTAGTGCTTAAATATGCAGCATTTCTCCCTCTTTCCTGCCTCCTTTAAGGAGAGAGCAGTGAGCAGATCACATTCCCAGTAAACAATGCTTTTTTAATGGAAACAAAGTTTCCTTGCAACCTAAAAAGGAGCTGCTGAGCATACGTTTCTATTGACTTTTTTTTTTTTTAAACAGAATGGAAAAAAATAGAAAATGCTTCTTTGACTAGGACTCCTATAGGCTCATTAAAAGTTGTTTGTGAAACTAAAACACCTCCTGTTACCCATTAAGCCAGATCACTGTGAAACTATGAAAATGAAGGCATAGCTATAGAACATATAATCAGCTGTTAAAATAGAAAAAGTAAATCACGTGTGGAGAAAAACATACTGCAATATAAAGAGACAAATCAGCAGCTTCAAATAGAGAAGCAAAACAGCATCCCCTCTACTTTGAAAAAATGCTTGTGCAGAGTGGTCTGAGATTTGAACAGATTTACAACTTTCCTTTTCATGTCAAAACTGCTGTTTTGATGCAAAGATTAAAAATTGTACCTGGATAATGGCTAGGAGAATTTAGCAGTGAAATGTGACCATATCCTAACCTCCTTGGTGCTGGCTGCTGCTAGAGAAGAGCATGGGATTTGCTGAATGACATGGTGGGATGTCAGCTGGTTTTGTCTTCCATATCAGCCCCCTCAGTGATGAGCCAGGGCAATCAGAAGCCTGTTTGAACAGAGGAGAAAGGAATATCAAAAAGCAGATTGGAATTGGTGTTAAAATGAATAGTCTGAAATCTCAAAGTTAGATTACTGGGTAATGATAACACAGTCATCTTACAAAGAAGGCTGTTATTTTAAGAAATGGAATTTCACTAGGAAAGAAAAAGAGAGGAGAATAAAGAGATCAGTGCTACTGAAACTGTGACTGTGAGATGAAAGATGAATCTTTAATATGAAGCACTTCTTTACCTAATGAAATGACATTGGGAAATACATTTATACTGTAGATTTTTTTCTTTACCCAAGCCATAATGTTCTGAAGTAAACAGAATCACAGTTTTGTGTTTTCCCCAGAATCTGAAATGATTCAGACCAAAGGGACTCTTTTAGTAATTTTTAGACCTTTTGAGTAATAAATTTTTAGGCTTTTTTATAACAATATTAAATAGGATAACTTATTTTTTATCTTAGCAGAATAACAAGACACAAGAAGTATGTATTGTAAGCAAGTAATATGATGGGTTTACCATATTTGCTATTTTGTTACTTGTCTGTACTACTTTTTGAGGAGATTCCCCTGTGTTTTCATGCAACGAATAAGTGACTTTGTAGGGAGAGCAAAGGAACAAGCACAGGAGATGTGACCCTACCTAATGCAATGGCTCTGAGGCTTCTTGGACACTGTGAAGGTGACCAGGGTATAAGGACGTGTCTGGAAAACAAAAATAAGGAATCCATCTGCATTACTCTTCCTCCAGAGTGTTTGTACCATGCTGTTTCACAGCCAGAAGTAATGAACCAATAAGATCATTATTTTGTATAGGTCTCTGTAACTTGTTTACAGAGTAAGTGAGCTTCTACTTGTTTTCAACACAATTTTTTTTTTAAATGGATGACTAATTTTGAAAGAACCTTTGTCCAGAAATTTTATGTTCATGTTATTATTGCTCTCCACCGTATTTGAAAAATCATGGCTGTCGGGTGGAATCCCCAGTGACTGGAAAAAAGGAAGCATTACTCCCATTTTTAAGAAAGGGAGAAAGGAAGACCTGGGGAACTAAAGGCTGGTGAGCCTCTCCTCTCTGCCTGGGAAGATCACAAAGCAGATCCTCCTGGTTACCATGCTAAGGCACACACAAGACAAAGAGGTGATTCAAGACAGCCAGCATGGCTTCACCAAGGGCAGATCACGCCTGACTAATCTGGTGGCCTTCTATGATGGAGTGATGGCATAGGTAGATGGGGAAAGGTTCTGGATGTCATCTACCTGGACTTCTGCTAGGTCTTTGACATGGTCCCTCACCACATCCTTCTCTTTAAATTGGAGAGATATGGATTTGAAAGATGGACTATTCAGTGGATTAAGAAATGGTTTGCTGATTGCAGCCAAAAGGTTGTGATCAATGATTCTATGTTTGGGTGGAGATTGGTCACAAGTCCCTCAAAGATTGATCTTGAAACGGGTGCTCTTCAACATCTTCATCAATGACACAGATGATGGCATCAAGTGCACCCTCAGCAAGTTTGCAGACGACACCAAGCTGAGCAGTGCAGTTGGTACAGTGGAGAGAAGGGAAGCCATCCAGAGGGACCTGGACAGGCTGGAGAAGTGGGCCTGTGAAAACCTAATGAGGTTCAGCAAGGTGTTGCACTCCAGCCCGGGCAATCCCAAGCATTTATACAAACTGGAGGAAGATCTCCTTGGGAGCAGCCCTGCACAGAAGGACTTGGGAGTCCCGTTGGACGAGAGGCTGGACATGAGCCAGCAGTGTGTGCTTGCAGCCCAGAAGGCCAACTGTGCTGTGGGCTGCATTAAAAAAGGGGTGGCCAGCAGACAGAGGGAGGTGGTTGTCCCCCTCTACTCGGCTCTTGTGAGGCCCCATCTGCAGTACTGCGTCCAGGCCTGGGGACCCAGTACAGGAAGGACATGGAGCTCTTGGAGTGGTCCAGAGGAGGGCCACTAAGATGATCAGAGGACTGGAGCATCTCTACTATGAAGAAAGCTGAGAGATGCCATCCCTGGAGGCATTCAAGGCCAGGCTGGATGTGGCTCTGGGAAGCCTGATCTGGTGGTCGGCGACCCTGCGCATAGCAGGGGGTTGAAACTAAATGATCATTGTGGTCTTTTTCAACCCAGGCCATTCTATGATTCTATGAAAACTTGGGACTACTTTGAATATTGAGTGCTGAGTTGAACCCCAGTGAATATCTGTATTCCAGGAGGAGAGCTGACCGTTGACTATGCCTGCTAATAGGCGTATGCTGCTTTGGAATTTATGTATGTAAGTGATAGGCTTGTTTTATAAAAAGAAAAAATTTTGCGATGTTTTGTAAGGAACTGCTAGTCCTTGTACTACAGATTGACTGTGTGGTCTTTAAAAGGGATTTGTTTCTTTGTTTCATATAACATGTGAACACGCTAGGTGGCATCCAGCAGTAGCCTTCATGCACTGCAGTAAATCAGCTCCCATGGCTCGTGCACTGCTCAAGCAGGCAGCAGACGTCTTCTCCCGGTGCCAGTCTGTGATCCAGGCCCCAGCATGCAGCCTTTTTGTGGCAGCACAAAAGGAATGCATTTTTCCAATGGATTCTTTGCTTGTCCAGGCAT